ATTCCGCTTCTATCGAATCTCCTTCTCCTTCCTCTTTCGCAATTTCTTTTTCTCCTCTCCTCTCCTCTTGCTTTCCTTCTCCTTGAATCTCTCTCTATTCTTCCTTCGCAATTTTACTTTCTTCTCTTGCTTTTCTCTTCTCCTCGAATCTTTCTCCTCCTCCTTCTTCGCAATTTCTTTCTCCTCTCCTCTCCTTCCTACTCCTCGAACCTCCCTCTCCTTCTCCTCCTTCGCAACTTCTTTCTCCTTTTCCTTCTCCTCGAACCTCCCTTTTTAGCCAATTTTCTCTCTTCTCTTCTTTTCCCTTCTCCTTTTCCTCCTTCGCATTCTTTCTCTCTCTCCTTCCTCTTCCTTCTCTAATCTCCCTCTCTTCCTTGCTTCCCCCTTTCATTTCCCTTCTTCTTCCTCCTCCTTCGAATTTTTTTCTCTCCTCCTCTCCTCTTCCTTCTTCTCTAATCTCCCTCTCTTCCTGCTTCACTCTTCTCCTTCTTCCTCCTTCGCATTTTCCCTCTCCTCTTCTTCCTCTTCCTCTTCCTCTAATCTCCCTCTCTCCTTGCTTCACCCTTCTCCCTTCTTCCTCCTTCGCAATTTTTTCTCTCCCCTCTCCTCTTCCTTCTCCTCTAATCTCCCTCTCTTCCTTGCCTCCCTCTTTCATTCCTCCTCCTTCGCAATTTCTTTCTCCTCTCCTCTTCCTTCTCCTCTAATCTCCCTCTCTTCCTCCTCCTCGCAATTTCTTTCTCCTCTCCTCTCCTCTTCCTCTTCCTTCTCCTCTAATCTCCCTCTCTTCCTTGCTTCCCCCTTTCATTCCGCTTCTCCTTCTTCCTCCTCCTTCGAATTTTTTCTCTCCTCCTCTCCTCTTCCTTCTCCTCTAATCTCCCTCTCTTCCTTGCTTCCCCCTCCTCCTTCTTCCTCCCTCGCAATTTCTTTCTCCTCTCCTCTCCTCTTCCTTCTCCTCTAATCTCCCTCTCTCTTCCTTGCTTCCCCCTTTCATTCCGCTTGGTTTTCCGCGCCTACGTGCTTTGGAAAATCTTTGACAGTTCCTCCCCAAGGAATGTGTATATATTCTTCTCTCACTCTCTTTCGCTTATCACGTCGGGCTTTCAGGATATCAACACCAAACCTTTTATGTTATCTTGAAGGTTTGATATCGGAGTTAGCTCTTTTTCCTCTTTTTCTTTTTTTCGTTTTTATGTTTTTATGCTTTTGCTTTTTAACTTTTGTTTGGCTTTTGCTTTTGCTTTTTTTTTTGGGGGGGGGGAGCATTTTTTTTCTTTTTTATGCTTTTGCTTTTTAACTTTTTAGTTTTTTTGCTTTTGCTTTTTAGCTTTTTTTATTGGCGGGGGGGGGGTATTTTTTTTTTTCTTTTTTATGCTTTTGCTTTTTAACTTTTTAACTTTTTTTTTGGCTTTTGCTTTGCGTTTTAACCTTTTTTGGGGGAGGGGTCATTTCTTTTCTTTTTATTTTTGCTTTTAACTTTTTAGCTTTTTTGGCTTTTGCTTTTTAACCTTTTTTTTTTTTGGGGGGGGGGCATTTCTTTTTATTTATGGTTTTTGCTTTTTAACTTTTTTTTTGGGGGGGGTCTTTTTTTTCCTTATTTGGGATTCTGTCTGGCTTTCATCTTCTTCCTTCTTCGGGTATCTCTTTATTGAATTTTCTCTTTTCATTTTTCTTTTGGTTTCATGTCTTCTTGTGCAAGATTGTTAGTATTTTTTTGTTTTTTGTTTCTTACCCGTTTATAAGCTCTTAATATCTTTTACTTTTTTATTTTCTTTTTTTTCTCTCCATTTTCCCCTCTGATCCATGTCTTTCTCCTCTTCCCTATCCTTCCCTTTTCTCCCCTCACTTACCTCTCCTCTCTCTTTCTTTCCTTAACCCTTTCCCCTTCTTACCTCAACCTCCACAAACTCTTCCTCTCCTCTTACTCCCCATTCACTCTCCCTTCCCCTCTCCCCTTTCTTCTTTACCCATTTACCTCAATTCCTTCCTTCCTCTTTACCTCAACTTCTTGCCTAAACACTCTCTTAAGCCTCCTAGCCTCCTTTATCTTCCTTCTTCTTCCCTTTGACTGACACGACTTGGTATTAACTCTTTTTTTTCTCCTTCTCCCACTTCCATCTTCGTCTCAGTTCCCTAATTCAAATCATTTTCCTATTTCTCGTCTCCGTTTTGTCCTCCTTGTCCTCCTTCCTCTAATCCAAACATCTGCCTTTCCTCATAACTTCCTTGCCCCCCCCCCTCCCCCCACCTTCACCGGGATATCCCTCTCTTTTCCTCATACTCTCTCCTCGCTTCTCTGAATCTCCCTTTCTCCTCATTTCTCTTGCGCTCTCCTTCCATCCTTCGTTGACCTTCGTCTGAAATACCGAAACCTGTCCTCCTCCATCTGCCTCATACCTCTTATCTCTCTTTCTTTCTTCTTCCTCTCTCTCTCTCTCTCATCTCTCTCTCCTCTCTCTCTTCTCTCTCTCTCTCTCTCTCTCTCTCTCTCTCTCTCTCATACTCCTCGATGCCCTTAAAAAAGAAAGAAAAAAAAATTATCTTCCTCTATCCTCATATATCCCCTGCTAGCCCCCCCACCCACCCCACAAAACCCCTCCCAGCCCCCCGAAACACTCCCTCCTCACCCTCTCATTCCTGCCTCACACCTCTCTCTTCATAAAAATAGGCTCCACTTTCATTTCCTCATACTTTTCACTTCCGCCCCCCTACCCCCCCCCAAAAAAAAAAAAAGAAACATCTCCGTCAGAGAGAGAAAGAGAAAGAAGAGAGAGATTAGAGAGAGAGAGGGGAGAGAGAGAGAGACAGAGGAGAGAGAGAGAGAGAGAGAGAGAGAGAGAGAGAGAGAGAGAGAGAGAGAGAAAGAGAAAGAGAAAGAGAGAGAGAGAGAGAGAGAGAGAGAGAGAGAGAGAGAGAGAGAGAGAGAGAGAGAGGAGAGAGAGAGAAGAGAGAGAGAGAACACCAAATTCCCAGAAGAACTATTTGAATTTCATAACCAACCGTCAGTGTCCACTAAACGGCCGTTACGGGACGAAACGCCCTTCTCGTTCTGCTCCTCGAAAAAGAAAAAGAAAAAAAAGAAAAAAAAAGAAAAAAAAACTTTCGCAGCGTTAAAGATCAAAGGGAAAGACGAAGTAGAAAAAAATGACGAGAGAGGGAAAGAGAGGGAGGTGAAGAGAGATGAGAGAGAAGGAAAAGAGAGAGAGAGAGGAGAGAGAGAAGAGAGAGAGAGGAAAGAAAGAGAGAGAGAGAGAGGAGGAGAGAAAGAGGAGAGAAAGATAGATAGAGAGAGATAGATAGGAGAGAGAGAGAGAGAGAGAGAGAGCGAGAGAGAGAGAGAGAAATGAGAGAAGAGAGAGAAGAGGAGAAAGAAAGAGAGAGAGGAGGTGTGTGTGTGTGTGTGTATGGAAAAAAAAACACTCTACCGTGTTGATACCATGGTAGAAAAACCCAAAAAGCACAAACTAGATTTACTGAAGAAAGTGAGACAACAGTTTCGGAATCATCCTCGATTCCATCTCGGGTCGAAAATGGAATCGAGGAGGATTCCGAAATTGTTGTCTTACTTTCCTCAATAAATCTAGTTTGTGCTTTTTGGGTTTTTCTAATATATATATAATATATATATATATATATATATATATATATATATATATATATATATATTATATATATATGTGTGTGTGTGTGTGTGTGTGTGTGTGTGTGTGTGTTTGTGTGTGTGTGCGTGCGTCTGTGTATGTGTGTTTGCGCACATCGAAAACAAACACATGTAAAATCATAATTCATTTCCTTGCTATGAAAATCAATCTTGTAACCAGTTATTATTAAAAGCACCCCTTATTTTTCATTTTTACTTATTTCTTTTTATCAATCTTGGTCTCTCTGAATATAATTCCGTTTCCCAGTATTCCTCAAATGTATTTATGATATGCACGCGGGTCCAGAAGTCATCGGCCGCCGCGAAATATCTAATTTGACCCTGGACATTTCAATTGGCTCGTGTAATTAGTAATTAGAAAGGGTCTGTATCCTCATCTTCTTTATCATCGCTCGGGTCATTATCATAATCACATCATTAGTACCAACACGCAAAGTTATCACCATTAATATTCCTGAAAACACGATGATTGTGAGATTTGGTGAAAAATGAATTAGTATCCCCTATGAATTAAAAAAAAATGGGAATGATTCATCATTTCTTCAGGACTTCATAACTATTGTACTCAGTCGCTCATTATAAAACGTTAATGTCATCATTACCATAACGAGAGGACCGTCGTTACCCTCATTATGAACATCATTAGTGACCTTGTCTCCCTCTCTATAGTAATGATAACATTAACTTTAACATAGTGTCTAGATTTTGTAATCAGGCATATTGTCACTTAATTTAGATTTTATTGTTCTTATTTCATTAATTATCTCCTTTATCATCATTCGTCTTGTTTCGTAGGACAAAGAAACACGAATTACAAAGACGTTTTTTTTTATTCGTTTATTTCATTTTATTTATAAAACTTACATATATTCCTTGAGAAATTTTATTTTGGCACAGTAGAAAACATAGAAAAATACAATAAAAACAGTCAACATTCTGGCATTTTCCATTCATATAGGTCAGTTTACGTACAACTCTTGGCTGCCTAACGTCTAGGCTTGGACAACAGTAGGCAACCCACCCGACATTTTTTTTTTTTTTTTTTTTTTTTTTACATTTTTTGAAGCCATTTGACAATAGAAATTCGAAATGAAGGAACAGACAATAGATTAAAATCACTGACAACATTATGTACATTGATTATAGCCATATATGTTAAATATAGATAATTAGGGTTACATATTTCTTGAAGAAACAGCATAGCGGAAGATAGCAGTCTTTTAAGAACAAACCTGCAGACACTGTAGCCACTTCCCGTTTTCTTTGTTCACAGAAAATGGTCGTCTCACACACGTTTTTTTGAGGGGGTAACTTCGATAAAGACACACTATTTTTTTTTTCT